CTTGGAAAGGGGCAGGGAGGAGACCAGGAAGGGAGTTGGGGAGGAGGAGGGAATGAGGGAGCGGGATATAGCTGGGACACAGAGTTAACAAATTGCAACTAAAAAGAAAAAAAAAAAAACAAAAAAAAAAACTCAATTTCTTCATGTGTAAAAAAAAAAAAAAAAAAAAAACAGAATCATGTTTAACTTTGATTAGTTCTCATTTATCTGCTCAATTTTCTTTATTATACTTTCAGTATCTTTCCAAAGGCAATGAATAATGAGGCTTGATTCTTTTGAGAGATTTAATTTAGTAGATATTTGATTCACTTTGAGTTGTTTTGTATTGTATAATAAGGTTCCAAATCCATTATTTTGAATGTGGATATACAGTTCTCCTGACACTATTTGTTTACAACAGTTTTTTTTTTTATTTAATTGTCCTCAGAGCCTTATGAGCAAGCAATGGATCATAATATGTATTTTAGTTTTATTTTCAATGCTATTTCTTTGATACATCTCTATTAGTATGGCCAGTACTGCATCATCTTAATTGGAAAAGTGTAATATTTTTATGTTTTTATTAAAGTATTGTGTGTGTGAAAAAAATTAAAAAATGGAAAACAACAACAACAAAAAAGAATTATTGGTTCAGGTCATGAGCCGGCTTTTTGCTTGGATGATTTATTTTTTATTTTTTGTCTTTTTGTGGCTATGTTCTCTGCATTTCCCTTAAGTGATGTAGCTGAGCTGGCAACTATGTTCTCATTCTGTAGGCTGCCTCTTCTTTCTTGTAACAATCATTTTCTTTGCTGTGCAGAAACTAATTTCTTCTAATCTCATTTCTCTGTGTCTGAGATTATTTCCTTATGTGTCTTTTCCAGAGAATCCATGGCAATACCTACAGCTTGAAGTGTTTCCCTAATTTCTTTCCCTATAGTGTTTTCAGCTTCAGGTTTTATCTTAACGTCTTTAATTAATTTTGAATTGATTTTGTGAATAGTGGAAGATAGGAATCTAGTCTTTCTTCTACAGGTATGGTTTTCCTGCACCATCTGTTAAGAGTCTTTCCCCAATGTTTACTTTTGCCATTGTTTTTACTTCTGGGCCTTACATTCTATTCTACTGGTCTCCAACGGCTTTTGTGCTAGCCCACGCTGTGTTAACCACAGCGCCTCTGTAGCATCACTTAATTCAGCAGTGATGCCTGTAGTACATACAGGTCTTTCTGCTTCGAATTGCTTTGGATGTTTGGGCCCTTTTGTGTTTTCATGTGTTACATTTTTTTCCTTTGTAAGAACACAATTATAGTCTTGATGTGGATTGTAATATCCTTTTTTTTTTGCAATATTAATTCTGCCAATCCATGAGCACGAGAGAGTCTTCTATCTGCTCAGATCTTCATGCCCTTTTTCAGTGTCTTAATGTTTTATTGTAGAGATCTTTTACCACTTTGGTTTATTTTTCTCCTATCTCTTTGGGGAAGATTTTAAGAATAGAGTTTTACACTGATTTCATTCTCAGCATGTTTTTATCTGATCAAAGAGTTGCTGGGTTCATATTTGGTTTTATTCCTTTTTACTTAGTTCTAAGAGTTTCATGGTCTCTTCAGCATCAGATCCATAGCCTGTCTTCAGAGTCAACTCCTTCCTTTTCTATTTGTCTCCCTTTTCTTTCCCTTGTCTTATTGCTTTAGCTAAAATGCTTCATTTCCCCCCTTTTAGTGTATCGTTGGCTATGTCTGTCACATGTCACTTTTATGTTATGTTTCTTCGGTTCCTAGCTTCTTTGGAGTGTTTATCAGGGATGCTGAACTTTGTCAAAGGCCTTTCCTGAATTTGTGGAGACGATTGCGTGACTCTTGTCTTTAGTCTGTTTATGGGTGGGGTAGCAATTTTTAATTTTTCATCCCTCGTGTGTGAGGCCGTGTGCATTTATGTGCACTGCATGCATCAAGTGCCCTTAGAGTTCTAGATGGCGCCACATCCCCTGGCAGTAGAGTCCTAGGTGGCTGCTGTGAGCTCCCGGAAGTGGGTCCTTGGGTCCTGAGAGCTGGGGCAGAGGCCTCCGCAAGAGCTGTAAGCTCTTAGCCGCTCTTAACCACTGAGCCATCTCTTCGGGCCCATGAGGTATAACATTTACTGATTTTTTTTTTTTTAATGTTTAAACAACTTCTCATCCCTGTGTCGAAACCAACAGTAATGGTATTCGATCTTAATACACTCTTGAACATGATTTTGCACATATTGTATGGAGGATTTTTCTATGTTCAAGGAATCAATCAAGGAAACTGACCTACAGTTTCTTTTATTGTTGTGTCCTTACCCACTTTCCCCCTCCCCTCCCTTGGCCTTGAGGGTTAAGGAACCTTTGTGTGTGTACGTTCTTGTTTACAGATGTGGCTGCATAGGCCAGCTTGTGTGGAGGTCAGAGGGAAACGAGCTTTGGGTTTTGACCCTTCCCTTTCCGCCTTGTTTGAGGAAGGGTTTCTCACCAGTGTGCACAGGCTGGCTGGACCACAAGCTCTGGACGAATCCCCACTCTGCCTCTCACTCTCCAGGTTCATTGGGACTCCTGATCCAGTGTTGCTGTGCCTGACATTTACATGAGTTCTGGGGATCAAACTCAGCTTGTCAGGCCCAGCAGCAAGTACCCTGACCCATGGGGCCAACGCTGATGACCCGAGTTCGACCCACAGTATTCAAGTGGAAGGACCTCTGACCTCTACACGTGTGCTGTGGCAAGCGTCTGTGCACGCAGACTCAGCAGTGCAGAGCTGTTGACATTCTACTCTAGTTCCCTTTCCGATGGCATAAACCTTTCACTTTTCCAGAACAACACAAAGTTACAGTTCTGGTGGTAATCATGTTGCTTTGCTTTTTCATATTTCTGGTGCTTCTGTGATAAAATTGGCACATCTTTGGTTTGGTTCCCTCTTCTGGTTTTACCTTAGAAAGCAACCCACCCTTGGGGTTCAATCCCTAGTACCACCCAGTGTGGAGAAAGCAAACTAGTATAACAGCAACAGAACCAATTACAGATACACCTAAACAAGATTAAAGTCCACTAATATATGACATGTGTCCATTAAACAGAGAATGGCAACAAGTAATATAGAATGTCATTAGGTTAAATTATTTAGGGTAAATGTAGTAAGAGCAGATGAAGGAGTTGAGAGAAGAAGGCAGGGGAGATAGGAAAACAGGTAAGTAAGATTAAATGCATGAAAAGCAGAAGAAGAGTAACAGAGAAAAATGTTGTGGAAGGTAAAAAGAGAAAAAACCATTAATAAAAATAAAATAAAAATACCAAGTTTTCCAATTATGATGAAGTAAAAAACAAAATTAGCTAAATGTTGAGAGGGAGTTCACCAAACAACCATTCATGGAGATAACTTAGAACCCCTGTACAGAAGTAGCCCATGGCAGCTCAGTGTCCAAGAGGGTTCCCCAATAATAGGAACAGGGACCATCTCTGACATGAACTCAGGGGCTGGCTCTTTGACCACCTCCCCCTGAGGTGGGGGGTGGGGAGCAACCTTGCCAGGTCACAGAGGAGGACAATGCAGCCAGTCCTGATGAGACCTGATAAGACAGGGTCAGATGGAAGGGGAGGAGGAACTCCCCTATCAGTGGACTTGGGGAGGGGCATGGTAGGATAAGAGGGAAGGTGGGGTTGGGAAGGAATGAGGGAGGGGGGCTACAGCTGGGATACAAAGTGAATAAACTGTAATTAATATAAAAAAGATGAAGAAAAAAAGATGGTTCTATGATGAGCTAAAAACAAAACAAAACGAAAACAAACAAAAAACCTAGGATAAAGTAAAAGGATTGTTGAGTTGGGCAAAATGTAAATATAAGGCAAGGCCAGGAAGTCAAAGAAAGGACGACGAGTCAGGAGAGTTTCAGGGCCCGAGAACTGGAGCCTGACGAGCACGTGTTGGGGTGAGGGCTGTGGAACCCCAGGGCTCTTCTATGGTTAAACCCTGTTGGGCAAGCATTGGATGTCCACAGGACCTTCAGGAGCATCCCTTCCCTGTGTGGAAGGGCCCTCTACTGGCCACACTTAAGCGCTGCAGCCACTGGGCGGGACAGTCTCTCAGTGTTTCCACTCCTAGATCCTATCCTCAGACATGGCTGATATCCTGGCCATGGTGAGGCCTCCCAAGGGAGTGTGACAGCAACCAAGACACCAGTGTCTCTCTGGACTTTTGCTCGGCTGGCTGGAAGGATGGAAGCGGCTATGGGGGCTGCAGGCTCTGCAGCAGTTCTGCGCCCTGGACAGGGTCAGTGGCTGGTGCACCTGCTGGCCTCTGGCAAGGCTCCACATCTGTTCTGTTGACGTGACCAACAACCAGGGCAGGGCTTTTCTTCCTGTGCACTGCAGTGCCTTAGCTTTTGTCTCTTGCACTGTTAGTTGTCAGCATGTAGCTCTCCCACTCTCCACAATCACCCCCAGGTTGCCTGTTGTGGAGCCGTGGCAGACTAACCTTGGGCTCACGGCTGTGTGCTGGTTCCCCTCTCAGGCTCCCAGCGTGGCTTGGTGCCCTCCCAATGTGGACCACACAGCAGCACAAATGGGACTTCTCTCTACTGCAGACTCACCTGCTGGAGGGATCAGTCTCTTCAAAGCCCACAACTGGGTCTGAGAGTTGTGGGCTTCTGCAAATGCAGGCCTGCCCGCTTACCTGACCTAAGGCCTCACCACTGTGTCACCCACGTGCTTGGCTTGGCCTTTCTGCATATCACTAGACTGTTTCTGCATGTCTTCATATTCCCTTTGTGGATTTCGAAATCATTTCCCATCTCTCTTTAGAATACACTCTGCTTTCCTTAGTCTCGCCTGACTTTGCTTTAGGTCAGCTTTGTCAAGGTAATTGTTCCCACCTGTTTCTTGAGTGTAGCTAGAGGATGAAGTGCACTGATTAAAAAAAAAGATTTCCTGGGGAGGGGGGAGGACTGGGAGGGGAGGAGGGAAGGGGATACAAGGATGTAAAGTGAGTAAAATAAATGAGATAAAAGAAAAGATTTTCCTTTATGTATTATTGCCAGACTGTCTTGACACGAAAGCTGCCCAAGTAATTACACGGAAACTTTATTATTTATATATGAAAGCTTGGCCTTAGCTTGTTCCCAACTAGCTCATATAACTTAAATTAACCCATTTATACTAATTTAAGTTCTGCCATGTGGCTCGTTACCTCTCCGTTGTCCCAGCATCAGTATCCTCCTCCTAGTCTGGCTGGCAAATCCACTGACCCCCTGACTCTTTCCCAGAATTCTCATCTCTGCCCAGAAGCCCCACCTATCCTGCCCTGCCCGCTCGCTACAGGCTATTCAGCTCTTTACTAAAACCAGGCAGAAGGTGAAGGAGAAGATGCTCACAGAACACTGAGACAGGTGACGCATCATGAAAATACCCACCTCTGGCCTTGTCTCAACTCTGCCCGCAGAGATCAGTGTCTGAGCACAAAGACAACCTTTGCACAGTGCACAGGAGACCACCCCTGTATGCATGCGCGTCTATGTTTGCACTCATGTGCAAGTGCCTGCCGAGGCCAGAAGAAAGCACCTGAGCCCCTGGAGCTTAAGCTACAGGTGCTGTGAGCTACCAGCTGACATGCGTGCAAGGAGCTGAACTTGGGTCCTCTGCTCTCAACCCCCGAGCACCTCTCCAGACCCCTGCTCAAACTTTTTATTTCTTAGGTATTTCTGCAGTTGGTCTTACTAGGAATTTGTCCATTTTAATAAATTTATTGGTACAGAGCTCACCTCACTTGACCTATGCATGTTTCATCTGCATGTATGTACATGCACATGTGAGCCTGGTGCCCTTGGGGGTCAGGAGATGGCATCCGAGCCCCCAGAACTGGAGCTGGTGTTGGCTGTGAATCAGCCTGTGGATGCTAGGACTCGAACCCCAGCGCTCTCACCTGCCGAGACTTCTCCCCAGCCCCTCTGTTCTATACTTCCCCTTCTTCCCTGTTTTAGATGTTTTCAAGCCCCAAGTCACTGTTAGTTTAACTCACTTGTATTTCTGGTGAATCGTTTCACTTTCCCCCATGTGAGTCCTGGAGTTTACACTCAGGTCCTCAAGTTCGTGGCAAGCGCCTTTCTACACTGTGCCGTATCGCTAGCTATTGCTACACTCACTCAACCAGGGCTTTCTCCTCTCTGGGCATAAAACCTAAGAATTTGTTCATGCACACGATCTACCATTGAGCTACGCCCTCACCTCAGGACTTTGTTGAAAATGTTTTTGTTTGCTGTATGCACTTACCAAGTACCATAGTTTTCAGACATACACTTTTCATAAGTTTTCACTTAAAATGGTTTTACTGAGCAGCCAATGGTGTTCCTTATGCTGCCACTCAAAAAATGTTTAATTGCTTTTTAATGCATGTCTCAGCACGTAAGCAATGAGAATCCTTTAAATAAGGCAATGTGTGCACATCCTGAGATTCCTGCTGCTACCAGCAGGTTCAACATGCTGTGCCCGGAACACATGGGCAAATTTAATAGTTCCTGAAACACCCTCCGTATCTGAAGTGAGGATTCGCTGACAAGTGCATGAGGAACACCAGTGAATGTGACCCAACCTGCTGTAAGAACAGCACTCGGTAAGTCCTACAGAATTGGCTGAATTTCTATTTCTAACACAATAGATTAAAAACACAAGTGTGACCTTATGATAAAATCAATCAGAAAAATAGAGAATCCAGACCCTTTCCAGGAAATTTAAAATATGTTACTCTCAAGTTACATGTGATGAGCACAAACAAAATAGTGAGGCTGTCCTTCACACGGTGAGACGGTGTACACACTGGGAAACGAGCATCAGACGGCCAGTAGGCCGAAATCAGGAGAATTTAGAAAACACACTTAACTCTGAGGTAAACAGACAGAAACACAGATGGTTTACAGAGTGCGGCACGCTCTAATCGTCGTCAGAATCAGAATCATATTTCTTTCCTCGGATAGTTTTCTTTTCCAGCTTTGTGAAGTTTGTTCCGAATTTCTTTTGGCTCTGAAATGGTGGCTCCATTAAATTTCCACTAAAAGTGAAACAAAGTTTAAGAGCATTTCATTATTTATGATTTAATATACTCAGGATGTTAGACTGTAAAAAGCATTAATACCAATGGGTAATAGTTTCACTCCTTCTCTAACTATGTTACATTAACATGGAAGTTTGATGATGGTCATTATTGTAAATGTCATTTAGGGTGATGGAGATGGGACCCCCTTGGCCCTCTGCACGCTGGGGCAAAGAATGTCTGGGATGTCTGTGCTGAGCTCACATGAATGACAGGTAGCACTACTGTGCTCCTGAGGTCCTGCTGTGACTCTGCTTGTGCGGCACCCAAGTTCACATTTCTACACAAATTAGGAGAACTCACAGAATGCACTATCATCTGCCTGGGACTGGTATAAAACAATGATGCTAGAGAAATAAGTGATATGAGACAGTTTTGTGTATGTGTCTAGGGAGCTTTCCTGGCCTCCAGGATATTGGTTTGGAACATCACTTGCCAGGCAGGCACGGTGAGCACATGCCTATAATCCCAGGTGCCAGGAGACTGAAGAAGGACTGTGAATTTGAGGACCATATGGGTTACAGTGGGAGCCTATCCTAAACAAACAGGAACTAAATTAAATAAATGAAAAAAGGAAGAAAGAAAGCACACTGAAAGAAAGCACAATTTCTTAGATGCACAGCTAATTCTAGAGAGAGTGCAGGACAACTTCCCAAGGCACCTGTCAGGGTCATAAAGGAAGGGTTCAGAGGATGATGGAGTCTTATAGACCATAACCCACAGAGCAAAATCATTCCCAGTCCAGACCAATCACAAGATGGACAAGTAAGTACAAGCAATGCAAAAGTTTCTTATCAAATTACCACAGGGCACAACAGAGCAGTGTTCAACCTAGTGCCTTAGCACTAACCAGAGACAAACCATCTGATGACATCAGCACAAAGAATGACAGGTTGACTTCTACGTGGAACAACTAGCCTTGACACAAGACCCGAGTGTGATGCTGAGAAACACACCAACTCAAACTGAACACCTGAGAAATTAACTAGCTTATGCTTTTCAAAACTGCCAGTCTTGAAAATTAGAAACTGTTACAGAAGCTAAAGGCAGTAACTAAATGGACACATTTTTAAGACATGGAGAACAACAGAAGGCTGGTGGCACATTTCAACAGCCTCTATAAAATACGTCACTGCTGTTTTACTAACTGCACTTGGGGGTCTGCAATAAAATGTCCTTATTGTTAGGAAACACATATTCAGAAAGAAAGGAATACATGCAAATGCTTCTGAAAAAAATGTACAGGGTATGCATCTGGCACGTATGCTTAAAAAACGTCAATATGATAAAGACTATGCAAGAATTTCTTTTGCTGGTTTGCAACTTAATCAAAATTTGAATTCAAATTTTGCTGGGCATGGTGGATCCCACCTATAACCACAGCACTTGGAGGCTGAGGCAAGAGAATTAACACTACTGGATGTAGAGGGAGACCCTGTCTCAAAAAACAAAACACAAACAAGTCTGAAGTAATTTCAAAATGTAACATTTTGTTGAATAAATGTTAATTCATATTAATATAAACAATAAAGAAATTGATTTCTATAGTTCAGAAATGATTCATCTATGTTTAGAAGAGACTCAGAGAGGGAAGTAAGAGAAAAGGTGCGATTTTTCTATTTGAAAGGCACAATTTTTTTTTTGTCTTTCTTTTCCTTTCCTTTTTCATTTAAGCAAGAATATGCACAGAGCACAGGTGGTAGCTTTCAATTTGAAGGGGAAAAAGTCATGTACAAAAAAATGGAAGCTGGATTTCAGACTGTTTTCCAAGACAGACCGTGCATGCGACTTATAAGTGTCTACAATAAACACCCACTGTTTTAGCATGGCTTTTGGGGCTGCAGAACACTGTGGTGTGAGGTGGTGTGAAGGCCCTGGGCTAACTCAGCACTGCAAACACACGATTACGAAAGTGGGATGCCCTCTGTAGCAGTGTGTTTGAAATTTTAATTTCAGCACAAAAATTAGCTGTCAGTCATAAATTGGGGGTGTAAGGCTTAGGGTACGGCTTAGGGACAGAGGACTTGCCTACCATGTGTGAGCTTTGGGTTCAATCTCTAACAACATTAAAAAACAAGCAAACAAGCCAAAACAAAACAAAGCAAAACCCCTTCCCCTTCCCTCTTCCAAAGGAAATCTAGTCTGAAATGTCACTTTGGACTTCCAAAATTAGTTTCAGCAACATTTCTTTTCTTTTCTTTCTTTCTTTTTTTTGAGACAAAGTTTCTTTGTGTAGCTGTGGCTTTGTAGACCAGGCTGACCTCCAACTCACATAGATCCGCCTGCCTGTCTAGCGCTGGGATTACGAGGCTTAGCAACATTTCTTCCATTGAAAACTCTAGGCTGCCTCTCAGCCTCAGTCTTTAACCGTAAGTTTGGTTTTGCTGTCAGGCCACTGCTGTAGGCCTCAGGAAACGAGCTTCCCCTCAGCTGTTCACACCTCAGCCAACAGGTCTTATTTTTATAAAATAAACGCTAACGAACAGACATGGTAGTACAGTCTTTCAATCCCAGCACTTAGGAAGCAGAGGCAGGTGGATGTCTGAGTTAAAGAACAGCCTGGTCTAGAGAGAGCATTCCAGGACAGAACCTCACAGAGAAACCCTGTTTTGAAAACAAACAAACAAACAAACTAAATGGTACAAACATAAACAAGAATATCTAAAACTACCAACTAGGAATGGTTGCAAATAAGTCTATTTTTGTGTGTTTTTTGCTAAAGGTTACCTGTAGTTGATAACATCAGAACAACCAAGTCTCCATTCTAAAGTTTCTGTAGTGAAGTCATCTGTATTTCCTAGGTCGGTGAATCCAACGACATAATCTTGTGTCTTGCCATCTCTCAAGAGTGCTAGCGTGGGGAGGACCTTGATCCGCAGTCTCTCACAGAGAAATGGTGCCTTTTCCACATTCAGCTTCAAAAACTTGGTTTCAAGATGTTTTTTGGACAGAATCGCCAAATGTCTGTCTAGTATTTTACACCTGTAGGTTAAGAGCAGAAAAGTAAAGGCTAAAGGAAGCATCACAGTGTGTCTCATTTTACAGTTTTTTGTTTGCATCCATGAGTTTATGAGAAAAACAAACAAACAAAAATAACATAAATGAGGCCGACAGAACTCACAAGAGGCAATAATACAGCTGGTGTCACACTTGCAATTTAGGATTACAAACTGGAGTCACCAGGAGCTCCGAGAATCCTGTAACTCTGAAGCTCACCAGTTAAACATACCTAGTGTGGTTCTAAAGAAATGGGCTATATTATAGGGACTCCACCTCTTCCAACGCCCCAGTGCTAGCGACTGAACCCAATAAACTGCACTTTTAGCTCTGTAGTCATTTTTATTAAACCTTCTACTGAAGAAGAAATGACATTTTCCTTAAACTAAAATCTATTTTAAAGAAACCAAGCTGCTAGTGTTTCTGAAACAGACTGCCAATCTTTTAGGATCAGTGGTTTTAAGCTCAGGTGTTCATTATAGCTGATTTTTTTATTTACTGATTTGTTTTTTGAGACAAAATTCCTCTTTGCAGCACTGGCTATCCTGGAACTCACTCTAGACCAAGCTGGCCTTGAACTCAAGAGATCCACCAGCTTCCGCTGCCTGAGAGCTGGGATTAAAGGTGTACATGCTACGACCTGCTAACAGTTGACTTTTAAAACATACAGGTAAGTCCAAATTCTCTGGGGCGGAGGAGCACACAGGTGATTCTTGAGTACCTGGTGTTGCTCTACAGCTGGGTCTGTGCTCAGTAAGCTTCCCATAACCGTGACATCTAATTTTCTCCTGGCTGGGTTTTTTTTGCTAGGGAGTGAAATAATAAGATTTCAGGGATAAGACCGGGTGGGTGGTGCATGCCTTGAACCCCAGCACTCGGGAAGCAGAGGCAGGTGGATCTCTGTTAGTTCCAGGACTACACAGAGACCCTATCTCAAAAAACCAAGACAGCGAAACAAGACAAGATTTTTAGAGATAAATAAAAAGAGAATAATGGGTTTAAATGATGCTTAAAACAAATCTGTACGTAAGAAATCTGTACATAAATCTACTCCATGTTTCAACTGCAGAAGGAACCTATTTTAATTAAATCCATGATCATGCCATTTGTCAATTAATATACTTTGTTGTTGAGGTAAGAGCTTACTAAGTAGCCCAGGCTGGCCTCAAAATGGTGATCCTCCATCTAGAAAGTGATCAATTTACAGATTTAGTCTACAATGCTTGTGTTCAACCCATTTTAAAAATCTAGGCTGGTGGTTTATACCTTTAATTCCAGCACTCAGGAGGCAGAAACAGACGAATCTCTATGAATTCCTAGCCAGCCAGAGCTATACAGCAAGACCCTCCCTGACTTAAACAAATAAAATAAAAATTGTGGCATGTTGGGGTGATCTTTTTGTGTATGGTGCAAAGGTTGTCTTTGTATTTTTCAAATGCTGAGTTCTATACCAGAAGAGTTGAGAACAGGCCGGACTTCAGTACTGCTATCCTCTTGGCTGTATCATACTTTGTAAACATTTCCTCCACACTTTCTGATTGGTTTAACAAACAGCTGAACAGCCAATAGCTGAGGCAAGAAGGGAAGACAGGCCTTCTGAGAGAGAGAAACTCTGGGAAAAATTCTGAGGCCTGGGAGCTTCGCCAGCCAGACACGGAGGAAGAAACAGGTGCCCCGACTAAGACAGTGAGAGGTAAGAAGCCACTAGGCAGAATGTAGATGAATTAAAAGGGGTTAATTTAAGTTATAAGAGCTAGCTGGGAACAAGCCCAAGCTAAGGCCAAACTCTCATAATTTATAAAAATCCTCATGTCATTCTGAAGCTGGCAGTCCAAAGAAAGTCCTGCTTTAATAGCATGCACGGAGCTATGGGTTCAGTCTCTTAACACTGCAAAAACACCGCCACCAAAGACCATACAAACAAAAACTTCCACAAAACAAGTAACAAATGAAACATCTACAAACAAAACAAAACAAAACACCCTGAAAAATCCAGAAGCAGGGCTGGAGAGGTGGCTCAGCAGTTAAGAGCCTGGCTGCTCTTGCAGAGAGCCCAGGTTCAGCTGCCAGCACACCCACATGGTGGCTCACAAGCATTCCCCATTCTAGTTCCAGGGGACCTGATTCCATCTTCTGATCTCTGTGGGCACCAGGCACACATATGTTGCAGACATACATGCTGGCAAAGCACTTATTTATATACATAAAGCAGAATAAATAAATCTAAAAACCAAGAAGCTGAGTCACATCATCTTTCCATACAGGAAAGAGAATTATATCTCAGACTTCAAAGGGCTACTATTAATGTCCAACAGAAAAGTGTTCACTCATGCATGTGTCCAGCTTACTATGTGCTAGGGACTTTGAGAGCTGTATGCAAAATTTACGGAATGGTTTGAATTTTGGTTTCCCCAAGTTCTGCCTGGAGGCGAGCACTCCAGCTGTTCAGCGTTTCCCCTCCATTTATGTTTACTTGGCCTCCACTGTATGTGCCAGCATTTCTGCCCTAGAACCAGTGAAGGCAAATGCTCTGCTTCTGTAAAATTCAGCAGCTAGGAGAGAAGGACCCACGAGAAAGTGAAACAGCATCAGCCTTATTTGCTGGTGTCACTGGACCACCTTCCCATAACTGCGGCAGGGTGGGATAAGGAAAGGGAGGTTTAATGTCCCTCAGCCTTTCTACTACTTCTCAGTGTTTGCTTCATTATCTCTGAAAGGTGTTAAGACTGAAGTGGTAAGATAAGGGCCGGGTAGGCTACAGTAGAGAGAAGGCAGGGCCCAGGCAAGTGAGTTACCAGGCAAGTTACCCTGCATGTGGACCTAAGAAAGCCAGCACCAGAAAATTGCTATTATGATTCTCGGTCTGTTATTATCATCAGCTTTTCTAATTTTTAAAAATTCTGAAAACTGGCTAATTCTTAAATTGTCAATTTTTAAAGGTTGGCAACTAATCCATTTTGAAGGCGCGCACACACACATATATATATATACACACACACACAGAGTCCTCTGTTTTAAGACATAGGGGCTGAGGCTGTCGATCAGTTGTAGAACAGTTGCCTAAAGTAAAACAGTAGCATCTCTATCTCTCCCCTTCAAAAAAATATAACCTGGAGGAGGTGTGCTACTTCTGTCTCTAGGGGATTGCACTGAGATCTACAGATTGGGTTGCCTCAAGGGAAATTACTTCTAGCCAACCCTGGCAGTTCCAACCACAGTCCTGATAAAAGGTTTGGTCAAGTCACTGTCTCCTTACCAAGAGGACAAAGACTGAATGGATAACAATTGTGAAAGCTGCTGGCTTCCAATTCCCAGTATCCTGACAACACAGCACATGGAGAAGGCAATCAAATTATTGTTCTGGTAAGAGTTATGGGGATTTACTTTAGGATGTCCTTAGAGTAACATGGTAAAAACACAGTTGAAAAACAGTAAACCACTTACATAGAAATACTGACTTTCAATAAGGCTGACTTATTTATTTGCATGTTGTTGGCTTTTAAGTTAATCTTTACATTACTGAAAACACAAGTGACTACAACACCATGAAACAACTTGTTCCTTTTAGTTTCAATTGTTGTAGGTCTGTAGTGTATCTCTAGGCTATCTATCTCATGATAGCAGAGATGCAGGCCACAGAAGCACGTTTACCTGAATGTGGTGTCTCTGTAGAAATGGCAAACCACTTTTTCACTCTCCTTGACTTCTTGAAAGAAGTCTCTCTCACTGGCGACTTCTCTGTACTCCCCATGTCCTTTAGAAAGCCATTCCTAAGTTCAAGAAAAGCGAAATATGACCCAGCTGATACGTCTTTCAGTGATACATGGCATTTTAAGTATCACTGTATCATTTTTTGTTTGTTTGTTTTGTTTTTCAAGACAGGGTTTCTCTGTGTAGCCTTGGCTGTCCTGAACTTGCTCTGTAGACCAGGCTGGCCTGGAACTCTGAGATTCACCTGTCTCTGCCTCCCAGAGTGCCACCGAGCTGGCATCCACTATATAATTTTGTAAGGAATCCATTCTATACCAGAGCAGAAGGAGGTCTTTCAGCAGTTAACTTTGCTACGATGCCAGTGGCCGTCAGTGCAAAACTGTTCTGTGTGCAGCAGCAACTGCCTTTACAGCATGGGTTGAGTAGAGCAATGTCCTGTGTCAGCAGTTTGCTTGCTTTACTGGAAGCCGCACAGTAAAAATTTAGGTGTGTGAGACGTAAAATGAAAGCACCCATTAACTTTCATGTGTGAGCTCTTGAAACTGCTAAAATCAGGATCGTTGGGTCCAGATGGTTACAAAAGTGTTCTTGCGTTTATTTGTGTGATACTAGGGAGTGAACCAGGATCAGAGCAGGCGAGGCAACGGCTCTCCCAGAGTCACACACTCTCAGTTGTCCACTTTAAAGATAATGTTCTTACAGGCAACCAAGGAATGCCGAGAGTGGGGAAGACAGTGTTCTCCAGGGAAGAGCATACCAACTGGTAAAATGTACACACAAGTAACATTATACGGCCTGAACAGGTTATATTTAGAAATATGTATGTATATATAAATACATATATGGATGTAAAAATTAATGAAAATGAACTTGAGAGAGAGAGGGGGGGATATATGAAGATTTGAGGGAAGAAAGGGTAGGGAGAAATGATGTAATTATATTACAGTCTCAAAAATAAGAAATAATGTCCTATCGGGAGCAAAAACTAAACAGAGAACAGAACAATCCATCTCAGGAAATAAAGCCATCAGCTTTGGAGGACAGTTACTGTAGCTCAGAAGCTTAGGAGCCTATCTGCTTCTGGTCACAGTATCAAACAGGCAGACTTCTAAACTAGCCAACAGTGAGCAGGGTCCTCAGAAGGAAGAGCATTCTACTCGAAAACCTCACATTTAATTCAGCTTCCAAAGCCAAGGCAAGGCCTTGTCAACCAAGCCTGGGAAACTCTTCCAGCCCCTTCCACCTTCCTTGTGGCAGAAAGCTCGTCACTTAGAAGATATGCTCACTCTCCCTTTTAGGCAGCTGGTTAGGGGAAAAAAAAAAAAAAAGGAACAAGGCAGGCAGACTTTTCAATGCCCTTTCCACCTTACTGAACTTGGGTTTAAGGGCCTTTCTGAGCATTTGTTTTCTCTTTTGTAACTCGGTGTGACAAAGCAACCATCTCACTGAGTATTCCTGAAATTGGCAAGACAGAACTGGGTGTGGTGGCCATGCCTTTGATTCTAGCATTTCTGAGGCAGGAGGAGGCAGCTAAAGGATGAGACACCTCCCCCCCATAGCCCCCCCACCAAAAAAAAAAAAGACAGGCATAAGACAATCTAGCAAAAATGCACACAAGCCCCAGGAATAGTCGTGTGCACCTTTAATCCCAGCACTTGGGAGGTGGAGGCAGGTGGATCTCTGAGTTCGAGGTCAGCCTGGTCTACAGAGTGAGTCCAGGACAGCCAGTGTTATTACATAAAGAAACCATATCTCAGAAGACCAAAAAAGAACCCCCCATGTCTTCTCACATGGAACCATGGTATGTCTTCAATTATGACCTGTGAACACTAAGCCTGGTATGGGAGAAAAGGTTTAATCTCTCCTTTACATGTCAACACCTCAATCAAATGCAACACCTTGCCTAAGGCTCCCCTACTGCTTCATTTCCGGGCAAATACTTAGCAGTGACAGGGACTTGAGGTCAGAGCATCCTGCAAGTGAGGAGGAAAATGAGCACAGTGTAGCCAGGAGCATGAACAGCGGTTTCAGAGCAGGCGCAAGACGTTACTTGTTTCTGCTGCTGTGCTTTCCTGAGTGCTGCCAGTCTCTTTTCTTTGAGGACTTCCAGTTCATCTTCACCGATCTGATCCAACTTCTGAATTTCAGAGTCCAAGTGGTTCTCCACTAGCTTAGCAGCCTGCAGGAACTGGTTCTCCAGAACTTCCGAGAACATATCGATGGAGCCATTACCTTCCATTTTTCTAAATGGTCCAGGTGCTGGGAGGTTCACAAAAAATAAGCAGTAAGTTCACACTTTGGGGGCTTGTTGTTGCTTTTTTTAAAGATGGGGTCTCTGCAATATGGCCTGAGACCTTAACACAACTGACACCATGTTGACCTTAGAACCCAGCATGTAGGCCCTAACACTTGTCAAAGCTAGAATAAAAACATAAACCATCAAAGAGCTTATCCATAGTTCCAGGATCCAGGGGAGTCCCTAAATGTACTAACCTGCTTTTCGGTTAAAGCCCCTTTAAAGCTGTAAAAGCCCCTTCTCCCCTCTCCCAGATGCTGCCCTAAAGAGTTTCATTTCCATTCGTCCTCAGAACTATCCCTACAAGAACAGCATTACAAGTCCAGGCTACAGTCCATCACTTCAAGGACTTAAGGCAGAAAATTTAAACAGAAGACAGGACATAAGGTCATAAGCAGAGAGAAATGAGGCCCTGCATGCCTACTGTGTTCAATCTCCTTTCTACACTTAATTCAGGACTCAAAATCAGGGTACAGAATGGTGCTGTAAAAACGGGCGGGCCTCCTCGCTTAATTAAAGCAAGCCAGACAATCCCGACACCCCCAGCTGCAAACAATCCTCCCGCACATGGTGGCTCATGACTGTAACGGGTTCTCAAGGGTAGAAGCATAAGGATCAGGAGTTTGGGATCATCCTTGAATACACAAGGAGCTATAGGGGCTAGCCTGGACTATGTAATACCATCTTTACAGAAATCCTAAACAACTCTCCAAACCCCAACTGTTCAAGAACACCATGCAACTGAAAAGAAGCTGCATCTCCACGACCCCTCCCCCTGGATGAGATATATAAGACTATGACTCTCCAGACGTGGCCAGATAAGGAGCTCGGAGACAAGCTCCTCGGAATCTGCCATTATCTGGGCACAGGGTGCGCTTATCCCGGGGGTTTTCATAGGACATCTTTGGACGTTACATTCGGAGCTTCACAAGAACACAGGCTTTGATTAACAAGAGCAGCGCTGGGTGAGGCGGCGGTAGTCACTGCCTTTAGACTGGGGGCAAGGATATAGTTTAGTGGACCCTGTAACTTCCTATTGGTCGAACCAGCTCAACGGGGGGCCGACACCTACCTAATTCCCTACAAACTCCTACCCGACACCCAGGTACCTGTCAGTAGATTCTCCGCCACTCCCTGAGCTCAATGGACCGGTGGAGGAGTTCCGGGGGGTGGGGGAAGCGAGCGCCCACGACCTGGGGCGCATGCGCCGCAGCCTGCAGCCGCACAGAAAGGGCCCTCCCGCCCAGCCGCCGCCCGCCCTGCCAGCCCCAGCCGGAGGTGCAGGCGTGATCTGCCCTTCACTCAACACCGGAACGCATTGACTCCTTTGCCGTACCTGAACTACTGGTGATGCCTACGGAGAGAGGGAACTGCACACCAGAAACAGCGACCACCTTCGCGCAGGCTTCAGTCTCGCAGCAGCTGTGAGGGCGGGGAACGAGCTGTCAGTTCCCCCTTTCCATTGGCTCCAGCGCTCTCGCGATACAATGTGAGACGGGGCGGTGGCGGATGACGAAAGCCTAAGCGGGTGCGCTTCTCCTCCGCCACCCGGAACTACTGGGCTCCGAGTCTACGCTTCTAGCGGGCTGATGCGGGAGGTATGGGCGCCGAGGACGCTGGGAATTGTAGTTTTTCCTGTGCACGGGCTGCGGGTCAGGGCTCGCAAAGCTACACTCAACCGAGCAGGATCTTGCTCTTGAGCGAGACAGAGGCTTCGCTTCCTTTGCGTTTAAAAGTGTCTAACGTGTGCCTTATCAATTTGTTCACAACTCAACACCAATAACATAGCCCAAAAGCAGATGGAGAAAAAATTCACGGCTCCTGTACCTGCCTTCCCGACTTTCTTAAACCCACGGATTTTTGGAACTTGCTTATGTGAGGAGTCCTATCAGGGCTCGGCTTGCTGTACCCGTGCGTCCTTTCCCCTTAATAAACAGAGCTGATAATTAATGAGTTATCTCCCGGTGTCCGTCCCTCCGGAACTCCGGAAGCCTCCTCCTCCTAGGCCGCTCGCACTGAACTTGCTGCGGCTGAGGCCACTGCCCGGGGGGGTTGTCGGTCCCAGGGCTGCGTCGAACGCCGGCAGCCGCGGACGTGAGAAACGGAGGCGCCTCATTGTCGGCCCCGGGGTTCTAGAACCCGGGAGCCGCCCGGCGTCGCTTGCGGCCAGGGGGCGCTCGGGTTCCCACCTGGCCGGCGGGGCAACTGGAGACGCTCTATCCGCCAGCGCCGCTCTCGATGAGCCGCGCCCTGCGTCCCCACGCCGAGGCGGCGGGCGATGCGCTTGCGTAGTGCGGGCTCACACCATATGTGCCCTGTCCCAGCGCGCGGGGCTGTGGAGAGCCGGGTGCGAGCGGCGGCGGCGGCGGCGGCGCGAGGGCGACCGAGCCGAGCGGGCACCGGAGTCAGCCGGGGGGCGGTGGGTCTGTGAGACAGCGAGCCGAGGGCCCGGGCCCGCGAGCGCCGCTGACGGGCGATGGGGAAGAAACAGAAAAACAAGAGCGAAGACAGGTAGGCAGCCGGGCTCGGGGGTCCGCCGGCAGCCGCGCGGGGCCCGGGGCGCCGCGGCCGGGGCTCGGGCTGTCGTCCGCTCCTTGGGGCCGGGGGCGCCCGGCCGTCGTGCGGGCGTCCGGCCGCCGTGGGGCCGGGCTCGGGCGCTGCTCTCCCAGGCCTGCGGCCCGGGTGGGTGCGAGCCGGGGCCCTGTGAGCTCGGGCGGGGCGACCGGGAGCGGCTCCCTCGCTGCCTCCGGCCCCGAGGACGCCTCCGGAGCTGCTCGGGAACTTCGGAGTCGCTCGGAGTTGCGGAGAGGTAGCCCAGCGCCTCCTCCTCCCGTATGCCAACTTGGAAACACTTCTGGGCTATTTAAAGTGCCGGTTGCCCAGACTCCATGCGTTCTGGCTTTTCCATCTTCCGGCCTGTCTTTTCGCTCGTTCCTTGGCTTCCTAAGCACTTCCCTTAGGAAAGGAGGAGGGAAGAAACCAGGCTTTCTGACCTCTTCAAGAGCCTTTTCGGGGGAGGGAAGTGTGTTTACGAGTTACTTAGGCGGAGGTTTGGGGAGCATGGCTGTGTCACGTTCGATTAAGTTCTTTCACCCCTTTCAGTTGAGATTACTTCCTGGGAGTCAGCAACCATCTGTTCCTTTTCATCTTTGCGCAGTAGCCATTCAGCTGAGTTGAAAACGCTGGAGGTAGACTGGAATCAAAACCAAGCCCGTGGCCGGCCCTCCGTCGTCGTGGCTCACACAGACGTGCTTTTGAAGTGAAGGTTATTAACTGTACGTCGGAATGCTAAGTTTGTTGAACTCGCTAGCTGACGAGTAGAATTAAAAGACCAGCCTATTTATCTTGGTTTTAAGTCTGTCGGAGAGCGGAAACTGGCTTGGAAAATAGAATTTGGGCTTCTCGTGTAGTTTGTGAGGAACAGGTTTCAATACAGATTTAAGTACTGGCGTTAAGACTGACAGAGCAGAGAGGGAGCTGGAAAGCAGGGAAGCGAGCTCCCTCTAGGACCGGGGCAGGAGCTTCTCAGAATTGCCAGAAAGTTACTGTTAATCAAGTCAGGAAAAGAAAGAGGTAAGCAGAAGTTTCTGAATCTTTGATAGGATTTTGGGATACATGAGTTACATTTTTTTCCCCTGAAAATTTGAGTTTTATCAACTCTGTATTAATCATTCTCTGTATTATCTGTTAATGCCTTACACCGCCTTTATGCGTCTGCAAATGTTATTATCACGTGGCCAGTTCTAAATTACCCACTTGTTGGATACTCTGAACCAAATCTAAGAGGCCTTTCGTCTGTAACCTCATCAGCAGAAAGATAAACACTTGGGCTGGGGCCCCGTGAAAATGTAACAGAACACAACCACAGTTTACTAAGGAATAGGGACTAGTTTCTTACCAGCTCCTTCCTGTTTTCCCTGATAGCCTTTTCTAAAGTTATTGAACAGTGTCTCACATGGCTTAGTCTGGCCTGAAGCTCTCTGTGGCCAAGGGAGCTACCTTGAACCTCCAGATTTCCCTTCATTAAATTCTGGAATTACAGAAACGGGTTCCTAGGTGGGTGGGTGTGGGTGTGTGTTCTAAGAATTTTTTTCTTCAGTTTATTTGTTTGGTTCAGGATTATACCAAGCTTGAATTTAAAAATATGTATTTGTTATTTAATTTCCAGTGTTTACTTACTTGCTAGGCTCTTTAACTCTTGGGAGGGGAGATGCTAATGCTTGTCAGTAGGTGGTAAAGGTTGTTGTATAGAGATTTCCACAGGTGGTGTGAAGAGCTGTTGTCACTGGGTTCATTTGTTAGTATACAGAGAGTGGAGCTGATCTCCTGTTCTCTCTGTTCTCTCTGCTTTACTTTGGCTCATTGAAGGGAAATTACAGCAGAGCAGTTTCAAGCATTAATTTCCTCCTGTCCCAGAGTGAAGTTCAAGTTGCACATCGGCCTTTACCAGCTCTTCGCTTGGGTGCCTTTCAGCCTGTGCTTGGGTGCCTTTCAGCCTGTACTAAAAAAGACAGTGCTTTGCCTTCATGACTAAAATTGCCTGGCTTTCAAAAACTCTGATATCTCATATGAGGTATTAGGTTGGGGAAGGGAGTTCCACTGCTTTGTGAGTTTGCATTTGCTTGCTTGCTCGCTCTATCTATCTATCTATCTATCTATCTATCTATCTATCTATTTATTGTGTATTTAAGTGGTACTCTTATCTTAAAAGGTATTTCTATTTATTTTTAAAGACAGAAATGAAGACTAGGAAGAAAGTCTAAAAAGAAAATGTCCCATTTTGGGAGTAGCATTCTTTTATAAAATGAGATGTATCTGATTTTACATTCTTCCCCGAGGGGCCCTGGGTTAGAGACCTTTTTTCCCAGGCTCCATCAAGCCAGCTTGCTCTGCCAGGAAGAAGTGGGTGAGAAGTAAGCAGCTGCTTGGTAGGTACTAAGATAGGGAGGTGGTGGGCACATTCTAATTCTTGCAAAGAACATAGATTACTTGGTTGTCCTTGTTCAGGGCCCTATGTTTAACTCTTATTTTAACTTTGTAGCCACTCAGCATTGGGTTCCAATTTAGTTTATTTATCTGATTTGTACATGAATGGTGTATGTTCTGTCATATCAGTAGTGGAGGTATTTAGACTGTTTTATGTGTTTTAGAATCCTGGAATTCTGTTTAGGCTTTTATAATTCTGCAAGTGAGCTTTCCCATCAGGTGTGTAGCAAGTTTCTTTGGTTTCTTTTTTGTTATTGTTGACTGAAGAAATGAGCTGAGACAGAAGGTGTAGGATTCCATATACACCGATGAAGCAAAACATGAGGCAGTATTTTCATTTATTCCTATAACCTTACTGTCATCTGGTTTGCATATTGGTAGAGGATGTTATAGTGCCTGCTTAGTGTAGCCTGCTGTTTCTGTGTAGTACAGTGGCTGCTCTCTCTCTGACTACATGCAAGGGGAACAAGGATCCAGATTATCTGTTTCTTCACTATTCCTTATTTTCTTTTCCCAAATCTGTTTAAAGGTATTAACTAAGTATTGTAGATATTTCACTTTACAGGAATCTTTATGTTAATTAATGGAATCGAAACAATCTCTTCCCAAGGCCTCCTATAAAGCACCCTCCCAAATACAGAGGGAAAGAAAAAGAAATTTCTTCCATTTATCTGGAAATCGTCTATCATGGAAGTCAGCGAATAGTGTTTGGGAGTCAGTGTGTTAAAAAGCCATTCTTTGCTCTTAACTACCGATGTTGCTCTGTGATTACAGAGAGATCCCTCCCTTGTGGGTGTTCTGGGTACCATACACAGTGTCTAACCTTGGGTGGTGCTTTAGTGCCAGCTATTGATTCAGCCAGGTAGAGCCAGCTTAGCATGGTGTCTGTGAGAACGTGTCATTTGTGGGGCTGGAGGAGGCTTGGTGGTTAAGAAGAGCACAGTGTTCTGACTGCCTGCATTCACTGGGACAGGTGGCTGACCACAGCCTTTAGCACCAGCTCCAGGGGAGCAAATCGACCCCCTGGGGTGCTGTACTTCAGTCACCTGCATATACCCCCCCCCCAAACACAGGCATGCTTGCACAATTAAAAAATAAAAGAGGAAATGTGAATTGTCTGAGCAATTTATTCCAGGAAGATCTGTGGCTGTGGGCATTATTACTACAAAGCCTCCCCTAAGATAAGCTGAAAAATTCAAGTTGAACATCTTTTATTGGAAAAAGTCTGAAATCCCTAGAATTTCAAAATTTAAAGTTTTTCAGCAGCAGCATACCACAGGTAGGAAACGTTACCCTTGATTTCAGGTAATGTGTTAGAGCCAAAATGAAGTGTGCTCAAAACAATGTATACAGTTGCCGACATACTGTTTGCTTAAGCTATATTGAAACAGCAGTGTGGTTGGGATACACACCTTTAATCCTAACACTTAGCAGGCAGAGGCAGGCGGATCTCTGA